CGCGCAAGGTGTACAATTGCAAGTCAGTAGCTGTTGCTGTGAGCAACAGAGAGACGCATAGGGACATGTAAGTGAAAAACGGTATCGTGCGACAGGTCGCAGACAGACAATATCGTGCGCGTTTCCGCCACTTCCTATCACTTTGTCACTCCATTCTTGTATCTGCGCTCAAGACTACCGAATTTAGGAATACCGAGGTGCAAAGAAAGGATCGTTTTGCGATTCACCCGAGAGCTTCGACAAGCGATTCCGAGGTAAATCGCATCGTGGACCGTACTATCGCGCGGCAACGCCGACGTGACGCGAATACGAGGACCACGGGGCTCGTGAATGCGAGCCGCGCGATACGGGTTGTTTAAACTACGCTTCGGATCTCAAGTAACTAGGAACGATGGCCTGCGAGCAATTACTATTCGCCCGATGGCCGTCGCCGAGTGTGTCTACGGGTATAAACTGCCGAAACAGCCGCGCGAGAAATTGTGTACGTACGGAAAGAAGGAGAGCGCGTCGTAAATTAGCGGGTTGCTGTATTAGTTAGCAGAGCATGCAAATGGAATCCTGCGTCTCGGAAATGTCGTTAGACTCAAAGATGTAGGAATTTATTCGCCGTCCGCAATGTAAGGTGGGGCAAGAAAGTATGCAAAGTATGTAGTTTTGCGTGTGTTTTGGCTCGTAATGTGTGCGTACAGCGCAAATTTGCAACGACAAACTTTTAAAGCCCGTATTAATTTTCGTCACTTAAAGCTGGTCTCACGTGAGATATTTAGATTTGTACTTAAAGTTAGAATTTTTTCAGTTGAATCATTGATGTATGAACGTTGATATAGTGTGACACTATTTTTGCAGTCGCGATTTTATTGAAGAACTCGTGTCTAATTCTAAATTTAACTTTTACAGTCCGGATTATAGCTTCCTGGATTGTAAAGATTAAATATGAATATCTCACGTGAGATATTCAAATAACGACTATTAATACGTACCTAAGAATTTTAATTGATCCAATTATGGACTATATAATAATACGGTCTAAATGATGTTTGAACTGAATAAAGTTAATATTTAAGTATAAGAATGTAGTATGAAGTTTTTATTGTTATGTAGTATTTAAGTATTTTATTAAATTTTAAATATCTTATTATCATTAAAAATGAAATCTAATCTCCTTTAAGGAAATATCATATCCTTTAAGAGAATCTCTCTTCTTGGCATGATTCGAACGAATTATTTCTGTTGCTAAAAAACTAAAAAACTTCAACGACGTTTGAAAGATGTTTCAGCTTTGATTATTTCGAAGGCGGACAGCTGCTACTATCGCGGATTAAGTGAACCGATTTCGTGTTTGTTTCTCGATCGTTCGTTCAATTCGGGTTGGTGGCTGCGCGTCGCTGCATAATCCACGGAGTTACGTAGATCCGGGGCTTATCGCTCCCGGATTTCCATTCTGTCTCATTATTAATTTCCATGCGTTAAGCAGCCGGAGCGAGGATTAGTTGGGAGCGTCGTTATACGAGCTGTTGGAACTTCCTACCGCATTTGCGCCTGGTTCTATTGATTTCGGGAAATAATTGTTCTTCGTCGAGGATTGCGCGCGCCGAATCAAAATTCTGATCCGATGAACTTTTAATGAAATCTCGTGCCAGTTTCGAATCGGGGACGTTTATCGAATGTTTGCGCTCTCCCACCGAAAGAGTGCCAAATAAATTTCGACGTTTTTCCTCTTTCTTTTCGTTTTTTCTCCCGTTTTTTAGCGAGTCTGTGAAAAAAGAGAAATAGCTATCGAGCTATAGCTGATCGAAGCAGCTAAAATAGAAATATCGAAGCAGCTAACGGAGGCCACGCGTGAACACTTAAGGTCGTTAATTGCTAATTAATGAGAAATTTATTTGTTTGCGTAAAGTCATCCGAAGTCTCGTACATTTTAATATTGACCCTGAAGCGACGATTACATAATCAGTCTCTTCGTGACCTTATCTTGCCCCAGTTATCGTCAGGCGTTTTTATCACGCAATGACACGACCGCAGTGCGTAATGTTATCGGTGCAAATAATGTGGCGTTCGGTTTCTTTTATCGACGTCGGGCAATCCGGCGACTCACCAGGTCAGAACCGTTACAAATCTTATAATTTGTATGCGTGGAGGGCCGTAATTCGAACCGTTGCGCCACGACGAGAGAGCTCCTGGGTCAAAGAGCTCACTGCGATTTCTGCGAACGTTTCTCAAGATGCAAAGTTGCTCTGAGTGTCCCGTCGCGCACGATGTAACGAGTGTGTACGCAGAGCGCTCGACTTTTCGCTTTTCACTGCATACCATGACGTCGTTGTCGTCCTCGCCGTCGTCGAGAGAGAAACGAGCGTATTGCCTCTTTTCCATTAAAGTGTACAAAAAAGGAGAGGAGAGGGGGGAGAGAAATACGAGCACACACATACATACTTTCGCAACCAGTTCCGTGTTATTTCGAAAAAATGCATCTACCGCCAAATCAATGCCAAGCACTCGAATTTCGAAAAATGCATTCACGATTTGTTGATATTTCGAAGTGAAATTTGCGTATAAATAATATAGACTCGATTTCCTTGTTTTTTTTTCACGTTTAATTTGGACGTGACATGAAGCGTTACACGCGAACGTTCGCACTCGTGGTTGCGAAATTGGACATGCAACGAGTACTAATTATAGCATCGACTGACAGATCTATTTTGCGCTCTATTTTCCGAAAATATACCAGCGTAGCGGAACGAGTCGCAGAACCGCGCTGTTATCCAAAGAGTAGATTTTATTTCGCGAGATTCCGTTCCAATTCCAAGGAATCCTCGATGGATCGAGCATCGTTACTCGAATACGCGTGTTCTACGGAAATCCCGCTGTTAGCGAATCTCGATGCGCGTATATATGTCGGCGGTGCGCATTTGCATACCGGCACGTAAAATCTTCCATAAATAATTCATCGAGAGACTTTTGTTAGCTGGTGGGCGGAGCAGGAGCTTTTTAGAGCCAGCGAGCGTGTCCGATTGAAAACTCGCGGCTTAATATTCCGACCTCGGGCGCAACGTTAAACCAGAGTCACTCGCAAAAAAGGGAATATGACCGGGCGTCCAGTTTGATCAGTGCGCGACGTCCACGTGTTTTGCGAAACAACTGCGGAATCCTCCATCTCCTGCTCGCGGAGGAAGGAAACGCATCGCAACGCGCTCGGACGATGCGCCTTGTAGCGACGACGGCGGCGCGATGACATCGGTGATAAACGACGAGATCGGGTTGACATGTTACACGGCGGTCGAGAGACGGCGAACGAAATTAAAGAGCGATAGATGGATTCGCGGGGTTGCGGAACGGAACAAAGCTCGAGGAAACGTACGCGCGCCGGAGAACAAACTAAACGAGAAAGTCAGTCTCGACTGTACTTGACGAAGTGGACAAAATCGAATTGAATCCCGGGAGATACGAATCGCGTGCGCTTTCACGAGACAACGTCGTCTCTTACCAATGTTAGCTTTCATTCGCGTGTCTCGCATCTTTGCGAATTTTCCTCCCGCGCGCACAACTTGACGTTTAGGCGACTGAATTCCGATCAGCCGGCTCTGAGATTTAACTCCGACGGTTATCTGTGTGTGGATCAGCTGTTTGCGTAACCTCACACGTCTCACCTCAGACGTACTTCCTCTAAAACTTTCGTTGAAAAAGGCCACATTTTAACAAACAATTTTCAAAGGTGACTTTTGTGTTTTCAATTCGTAATGTATCATTTCAATATTTTAAAACTAATTTCTTCTTTAGATGTGATAAATTTATGAATGTTATATGTCATAACAGTAACGGCCAAAATTAATTATCCGACAAGAGGTTCGCAATTCTTACATTGTCATGAGTTGAATCATCAACACGATTTTATGAGCGCGTTTGATCACTTTTAATTACGATACGAAAAAATACGCGTCCAAGAGAGATAAAGGAGGAGAGAGGAGTCTCGTTTCGGATATGAAAGAAATTTTTCTTCATTTGAGCAACTTATAACGCGCTGCTGCGAAAAGCGAGCTTCGCTCGGGCGGGTGGCAAACTTTGGCGAAGTTTTCATCGTGTATCTAATAGGCCGCATTGTGCCGGCGAGATAACATTTCTGCCGGATAAAGTTTATTCCTTAATTCGATCCGCCGTCGTCGACGAGAACGATACGTTTCCTCCTTACACTAAACTTTCGCTCGACCCCGACTCGCCCGCAGGAGTTTCGTAAAAATCGGAGCGTAAGTCGAGTTTTGTGCGTCTTTTGTATCGGTGATAACCGCGTGCGAAAGAGGGAGACAGAGGATGGACGAACGGACGGACGACTGAACGAGTAAAGAAGGGTCAGAAGAAGCGGAAGACGCAACGGCGCGCGGAGGTGCGGAAGATGGGGCTAAAGGGATGAAAGGGAACACCTGACTCGATGGACGAGCGCAGCAAGCCGCAGACACCGTGATATGCTATCGGCGGAAAGAGGACGATGACGTCCGAGACGCAAGCGCCCGAGAAGGACAAGATAGTGCAACGTGGCAGTGTAGAACAGAAAGAGAA